TTGTATAGTTAGTTTTTTTTTTCTTTTTCTTTTTTTTAAATACCATGATTTTTGTAATGTGAGCTGGAAATATGTGCTTCCATTGCTATTATTTTGTAGATTTAACTGGAATTTCTGATGGAATTGTTAGATGTTTGAAGAATGTTGATGTTGAATTTCTTGTATTATGCTGGGTTTTCATCAGTTTTTCGAATTGTATTTGAAAAATCTAAGTGTGGGCGATTAGGAATTATATAGAAATATTTGATATTTCTTCTGTAAATGTTACCAAACGTTTGGTACTTTCAGTGAAACTTTTACAAAAGGTTTGGTACTGATTCTATGAATCATTACAAGGTTTGGTACCTATGATGCACCATTTGCAAATACTCTTTAATTCTATATTAAAGAAATGGCAGAAAGATAATGTTGTCACAGGGAACTAGCATTAAGGCAACATTAAATACAGAAAATGGGGCACTTCATTTCAAGGAAAAAGATACTGCACAATTAGTTATTTTATATCTGCATTTCACAACATCTAATACAAGCCCCCACGTCAAAACCCTAAACACAAATTTCTAAAGCTAAATACCCACATCTAGAAACCGATTCTAATACTTAGGAACAAACCCATTTTGCAAACACTCCATACACAAATCCAAAGAGCCAGATCTTCCACACATTTGGTCTTGTTGCTTGAAGGGTGTTGATTTCAGCATCCACTTCCCTCCTAGCCCGTAGTAGGCCAAGAATCACTTTCCTCAATCTCTCACACATTAGAGGGTCACACCATATAACATGTGCATCTACTCACACCGTGGCTAGGGATAAAAATGGTTCGATTTCGGTTTCGGTTCGGTTCGGTCAAAACCATCACCAAACCGTCAAATCTTTTGTCATACCATAACCGCACCATAACCATATAAATCAGTTCGGTTTGCATCTCGATTCAGCTCGGTTCAGTTTCGATTCGATTCAGTTTGGTTAATAACCACTAAAATAACTTATTTTTATGGGTCCATCCGTCAAATTGATATAAAACAATTTATGAAAAAAGAGTCAATGAAAACAAAAACACAATATTTCAAACGAAAATGTAAACATTATCCCAAATTCCAATTGCAAAATACAATTTTAAAAACCAATATTATGAATATAATAATACTAAATTTTTCCTTCATTCTTGATTCTTGTGCATTGTAGTTACTTAATTCATGCTCAACAATTCTTCATTATTCCCCACAACTCTTACTAGCATATGTCAGCACTCAAAATTGATTCCTATATAATAAATAAGAAATGTAAGTAGAGAATACAATGATACTACCTAATCCAAAATGGTTTTAACTATGATTTAAATAAAAAAAATGTTTCTCTTCGTCAACTTCCTCCTCAATAAATCTTGACATCCCTAATAAAAGAATGATTTTTTTTAAGCAGGTAATCAGTTCAATTTCGATTCGATGGCATAAATACCATACCCGTACCGCCACGAACCGGTTCATTAAAATCAAATACCATATCCGTCCCATTACACCATCGATTCAGTTTTTTTCACCCCATTCGATTCGGTTAACTGAGGTTTTCGATTTTAACTGTTCAAATTGTCATCCCTAACCGTGGCTTCGAGGACAAGTGAGAAATCTTCTTCTTGGGTTCAGGTTCATCCATGAGGTCTTCATCTCCACTAGGAAACCACACTTGCATACATTCATCTTCATGTGCGTGCTAACTTTTTATGACTACCTGCGGGGGAAAAGGTGTGAGGTATTATAGTGGTAAAAAAAATGGAGGGAAAGGAACAATGAAATGTATAATAGGAGGGAAATATGTGTAATGCCTAGATTGCCCTTTACTTATTTGGGGAAAATTCTTAAAAATATCATTACTAGGGTCAATTAACAGTTTTTGTGGTCAAACAAACAGAAACCGTCATTTTGGACTGGCCCTGCGATTTTTTTAAAGGTTTGATGCCTTTGGTGGCACAAATGAAAGGTTTGAGCCAATCTGCTAATAAACGAAAAGTTTAGTAAGTGAGACAATAATATAGTTATTAAATTTTAATTAATTTATTTATTTTTAAAAGTTAAATTATTCGAATATATTTGGTAAATCAAGGTCTTTATTGTTTATCATATTCCTTTGATAATCTTATTTGCCATCTTCTTTTAAAATTAATGAAATTTCGTGAAATTTTTTATTTAATGTATTGAATTCTTAAAAAAAAAATTAAATGGGGCGGGCCCTTGTTACCCATCCCCACCTCGTTATCGAGCCAATTACCAGATTAATATTGGGTATGATCGATTTTTTTGTCATCCTTAGGTCTCAAAACCATTCATAATGATGGCAGTAGAATTGTTAGAAGCAATAGTAGCAACAACAGAAGAAGAAGATCTGGGCTTAGAGAAATGTTTAGACCTAGTAACTACCCATTTAGGCCTTGGTGGTTGAATGGGACTATTTTCAAGAATATGACTATTTTTCATGGTAGTATTGACACTCAATATCGAAAGATCCGAGAGTGAGTGACCATTTTGGGGGACAATATTTACAAAACTTTATCTCTATTTTGTGGTAGGAGGGTCTAGCATGAGTAATGGCAAGAACAATTTCATAAGTAGCTTAAGATAGTTAAATCCAAATAGGTTGTACCATAGTTAAAAAAAAAAAAAAATATCACTATCTTGTTTTAGATTATGCACATTAGTCCACAATTGATAATAATGAGTAAGGTCAATAGTTTTATACCTGTTAGCTAGGAAATCTCATCTCTCTTTTGCGATATCATAAGTGGCAAATTGAATATAAATCAAATGAACAAATTGTTTCGAAACCAGGTGATGATATGATGGTTCTTGCTATCCTAATCTTCAATAAGATCTTCATATTTTTCATCAGTCTTATTGATCCCACGAGTGGGTTTGATGAGATCACCTATAACAATGCTCTAAAGTTTGCACCTATAAAAGAGAACTCTTCATTCATTGAGCCCATAAGTTGTAGTAGGAACTATTCACAGTGGTGGCAATATGTTTGGAGATTTTAGTAACAATTGAAGAAGATATTTTCGCTTTCTTTATCATAAAGCCAAAAAGTAGAGACTTAAAAAAAATGAAGTCACAAAGGTAAACCCTATTCAAGCAAGAGAACCTATGATATAGAAGTAAGATACAAAAAATATCTACATGATTGGGGGGTCAGCTAGAATTCCTATAATTAAGCAACCCCACTAATTCTTGTACAAACCCACAGTTATGCTAACAACGTCAATGTTAACGTCAAAATAACAAAGACTTTTACACGACTTAAAGTTGGAGGACAGAATTGTCGAGTCATTAAAATTTCTCTTTTGAGCAATTGAGAGTCACATGTAACAATGACGATCTCAATAACGTGGAGACCCAAATTTATATATTTAAAGAAGTTGAGGTCCGGACCTCAATATTAATGGTTGGCGAGTCATACCTCACGTAAAGGTTAGGGGGCTTAGTCCTAAATTTTGAAATAAATAAACCAACACCCGACCAATGTCATATATGCTTGTCAAATAAGAAAGAAGTTTAGGGTATAAATTGTTAACATGCATCTATTGTTGAGAAAAGTCATTCATCCATATGACTTGCACAAAACTAGTGTAGATAGATCTAGGGGTCCCTAATAACTCGTGGATTTACAAGAATTTCAAACTTAAAAATGCACGTAATAAACTCTTACACAATTTCACCATTTTTTTTATAAGATTCTTATTGATTATATGAAAATCTATTAACGTTCATGAAATTCATAATTAATTAAAATATCATTTGAAATTGAAAAAAGTTCAAACAAACGTTTTTAAGCATCTTCGTGTTTAGATTTAACTACAGTACAAGTTGAATTCTTTTTTTGTTATACAATAAAGATAAACATAAATGTTGTTTGCACCATCTCAAGTGGATTTAAGTTTGGTCCAAGCTAAATTAATTAGAACAGTGTTACACTTATACAGATATTTTACAGAATACAGACAGTATTGAAGCCCACCCCCATACAATATTCTCACGAGGCTTACTCCCATGTGAATGCCCTGTAGATCATCTGTGAAATTATTTCCCATTAAGAAAAGGTTACTAAGTTTACATGGACAATTCCTTAAGGAGACGTATATAGGGATGTCAATGGATTGAATTTTGATCGGAATCCAATATGAATCCTATGAAATTTAACGATAGATGGATTTAGGACATCAATCCGATAATCCAATTAAGATCCGAATTTGATAATCCGTTAACTAAATAGAGCAAATATGGATATAGATCAATCCAATCCAATTTATTATAATGATATAATATATTTTATATATTATCACATAATTTTATTTTATTTTTTCATTTTGAAACTTGTATTATATTTAAACATGATTTTCAAATAACTAATAATATTAGATAATAGTATAATGTTGTTAATTGAAATATATGAAGAGATTTAATTTTTTATTAATTAAAATAAGATAAAAATAATAATTAATTTATTTTATAAATTAAACAACCAAAGGAGCCAACATTAAAATTGTTTCCATTATTTTCAACTTATCACTTCCCACATCGGATACTCACTAAAATACCATCAAATTTACAATCTATAAATAAATGGGCCAAGAAATAGGATAAAAACTATCTAAGCCTTTTAATTCTAGGGTTAGAAGTTTATTAAAACTTTTATTTTTCTAATTTTTTCAATTTCGGATTGGGTTATCGGATTGGATATCCAAGAACATGACGGGTCGGATATGTATTTAACAATCAAATATCCGTCAGATTATCGGATCGGATAAGATAATTTTCTTAGCAAATCGGTTCGGATTTGGTCATATCTAATCCATGTCCGATCCATTTACAGCCCTAGACGTGTATTCAAGTTCTGACTAAGATACTAGCTTGAGATCAAGATGAATCATTGATTCCAATCTAGTGTTGATAAAAATAGAAACGAGTGATCTATTATTTTAGAACACCACAAGTTCTTGACCGCAAATCTCCATGCAAACTATGAATGTCGGCATTTATCAGTGAGCTACACAACAGAACCACAATTCTTGACCCAATCGTGGACTAATTAAACGACATTGAATGAAATAATACTTTGACTTGAGCCTACATATAAAACGAAATACTATAAATCGTTGCTACATTTGAGAAAGAATCAAATATTGGTATATTTACGAAAAATAACTTGGCTACTGAGACATGCCTCTTCAGGCAGTGTTATAATTTGTTTCACCCACATTATCCGATTGTTTCTGGCTGCCCAGCTGCAAGGATATCCGTTCAATTATAATGAATGTGCAAGGTCAAGAAAATTTTGTCGAGCATCTGCCCAAAAGCACAAGCAGGAAGCAGGTTGACTTCGTCTCTAATTCTGCAATGCTATTGAATTCATTCACAGGGCATCCTTGTCCTCTAGCTCGTCTGGTACATGCAACTTTTCAATGGCAGCCTGTTACAAAGATGAGAAATTAGACGGAGGTGAAAGCCGATTTAAAAAATAAACCCGTCCACAAGCAAAGAAGATGAATAAGAAACTTGGTCACCTTAATGGCAGCAACATCTGTCGCGGATGGTTTCAAATCCAATGCAAGTCCGAAATTAAGCATGGCTCTGTCATACATATTACGTCGTTTATAAATCCTACCCATTAATGCATAAATACTGCACTCACGGGGGGCAAACTCTTTAAGCTCCTCCAGAACTGCTAAAGCCCCGTCAAAATTTTCCATGCTCACAAGAATGTTAGCCTTCTGATAGAAATGGAGGGGATTCTTCTTATCTGCTAAAATAGCCCTATCCATCATCTCCAATGCTTCCTTATTTTTCTGTAAAAGAAGATGCTCAGAAATTTTGAAAGCCAAAGTAGATCCAAGCAACATGCTACGATTTGATCCAACCTTCAATGTATGTAAAGCCGTCCCAAGATACGACATTATAACGGAGGAACATGGATTGATTTGGAAGGCCAGTCGGAAGTGATGCTCTGAAATCTCAAACTTCTCTTGCCGGAGATAAACCATCCCAAGTCCATGCCAGGCATTGTAATGCCTGGAGTCTATCCGGAGGGCATTTTGGAAGCTCTTAATGCCATTCTCGAAATCCTCCAAGGCCACATATCTGTGAATATAGATAAAACACCAGTGTAAAATAAAAAAATTGCATGAAGAGTACATCTGACAAAATACATGGCGTCATACTCGTGGCCACAAAGGGTGTGGGCATATGCAAATCTTGAATTTAGTTGCACTGCTCGCTGGAAATTCTTAAGAGCAGTTTCATGATCTTTCTGCAAGCTATAGCAATTTCCAATAGCACACCTGTCATATTATATTAATGAAATCAGAATAACGCTGAAGCAACAAGTAAACAATAATGACTTCATATATTAGTTTTATGCCCTGTAATGGGGTCTACCAATTAAGCATTATGCCTTACAAGAATCAGGAAAACTAACTATGGCACATACACAACCAACACTTTTTAAGCATGTGATAAAGACCACTTAACACTATATAAATACGTAGTCTATGATGTACGCCTATAGCCCACAATTAGTATCTCAAAATTAATGATAGGAAAAAAAACAGCAAATAGAAGAAAAGGTACCAAGATTGAGGAGCTAAACGATCGGTGGATATCAGCTCCTGGGCCAGGTAACTCAATTTCATGTCTTCCTTCAAATGCTGAAACATGGAAGTGAAATTGATTGTCAATAGAACCTTGAATAAATGGACAGCAGCTAAAAGAACAAGTAGATCATAAAGCAACATAAGAACAGAAACCATTTGCAATTCAACAAGGGATTAGATCACACAAAACCCAAGACTCGACAGCCATGACTGTACAGGTAAAATAGAGCAACAATATCCATTGGTAAGATACAAGAAACTCTTGAGATCAAGTATAAACTAAATTTCTTCATTAATTAAATAATCAATAAATTCAGAAATTCATATAATATTATCAGACTTATAAACTGGGGTTTTTGCAAACTACTAGTAGAAAATAATGCTCCTCCTCAAACAGGTGATTCATATCAATACCACCAAAAATGGAAAGGAATCTATTTTAAGCAATACAAATGAAAATTATTGCTGTATTAGACACACGTACAGGGCATTCGGTGAGAGACAATAATTTAGATCTATGTACGTTTTGCATAGATAGCATAAGAATTCTCGTGATTTCAGATAATGAATAGAACTTCAAGAATTATTGTGATTTCAGATAATGAATAAAACTTACTTAAATGGTAAAAACACACATATAGAACTGTAGAATGTATATCCATTCCTTCCAAACTGTGAGGAGAAGCCAACCTTGCAAGACTGAAGGCACGATCTGCTTCCATATAATCAACCATTTCATAGTACACTTTTCCAACCTGTCTTTGAATGACCATATATGAGGCCACATGGTCAGAAAACGGTAAATGTCCAACACTACTTGTAACATACCAAAAAATTTTAGAATTAAAATGTATTTGCTTTATATGTTATAATTTTATATTTCAAAAATTTGAGGACTAAAATGAAATATGTTTTAAATTATATTTTATTTGGGTCAAATAATTAAATTTTATATCAATATTGTACTCGTTGGATAGCTCGTAATTCATTACGCATTTTGGGCTCAAGAAATAATTATTTCGAATAAGTTATGCCCATGTTATTGAGGTTGAAATATATTACCTAAATTTACATTATGTTAATATTGATTTTAGACCCTTTAAATCCATCCTCACGTGTGCTACTTTAAATGAAGAAGAATTTTCCTTGTTTGAATGATTTAATATAATATATTATAGGTACTTTCTTAGCTAGCGTAGTACATTGTACACCACGTTTTATGCAACCAAAAGAGTCAATTTCTCTCAATTATCAACGGAGTTGGCTTTGAAATCATTTAGATGATAGACACATGTAGAAAGGTTAGCAAAAGTAGGTTCTCTTTATATTATTTAAATGCCTTGATTTTGGGAATCGATAGGAATTATCAAGTACTCTTATTTTAATATTATGTACCTTGATTTTTGGGAATGGATAGGGATGGTTTGTCACGTGTAGATACATATTAAGGAGATCTTAATTAGGTTTAGTTAAAAACTATTTCTTGTCCAAATAATTAGTTTTTGATAAAAAGGGATGAAGTACATCAATATTGGATTCATTTTAAAGCTTGTAATTAATTAGAACTCTTCGACTCGAGAAAAAAATCAATTAACATAAGCCAGCACCAAGATATTGCAGTTATAAAAAATAATAATGATAATAATATCTTTTCATCTAAATTACTTCTTGGATTGAATGAGGGTGCTGCCACAAGTAGATAAATAAGGTGATGCTTATATATTTTTATTTGTTTTGATTTTAAGACTTATAGATTGCTGCACGGGACAGATAGTGGATTGTTGTGGTTGAATAGATAATAATAAAGTACATTTTGAATAGATCTTTATTGCAAGATTTGGCTCTATCAAATCAAATTTTTGGTTTATCTACTACTCTAATCTACACCTATATATATAGGCATGATGAAATAGTTTACTTACACCAATTCTTATAACACATACGGCGCAGAGAGAGAGAGAGAGAGAGAGGAAAGAGTGTTTGAAATCAGAAATTTTCATACCTCAATTATCATTGTCGGTCAATAAATCTTTCACCAGAGTAGAGGAAGGAATTTTGGAACGTGCATTCAAATACTTATATATATATAAAAGATACTTTATGTGCAAGTGCTTTCGTTTTCTTATGCTTTTATATTCAATTAAATATGCATGGATTACCAGTAGGCATTCATTTTTTTTTTAAAGAGATATGAAATCCTACGGGATTATAAAACGATATAAGATGGATGTATCACTTGGTCACCGATATACTCCATAAGATCAGAGTGGTATGAAATATATAATTTTTATTGTTATATATTTGTATATGAAAAGTGCACGTATCTTATTGGGTGTTTTCGAATACTCACTCTTACAAATTTTTTTAAGTTAGTACGAGTCGATTAGACCGTGACGAACTGCCAATTGAATCAAATAAAGGAAAGAGGAAATAAACAATAGTCTGCTGCTATGTTTTTAATTTTAATTGTTAGCTTAAATTACTCAAAAAACCCACTTGTTTTATTAGTCATTTGATTATGCTTAAATCTTAGAAACTCAGATCTCGTGTTTTAATTATGTGTGGTTGAAAATAAATAATTTATTTTATTTTATTTGTGTCATTCCGAATTTTATTAAAAGGAAAAATAAATTTTTCGTAACACTCCAGTGTTTATGAAAAGTTGGGAAGTTACACTTCGAATGTGTTGACGCCATGCATCTCTATTTCTGATAAGCTTGCGAATCCATACTAGGAAGGAATTGGTTCAAGCTCAGCTAAGATTGTGTGTTAAAAGTTAAAACAAACAAGCCTCAGAAAAACTGATGTTCTTTGTAAGCTAACAATAATAAAGTGATAATAAGTACAAGGTGTGGAGTTCTAGGAGGATGTGTAACACGCCAACCATGAAATAATGGAAGTGCAATCATAATTTTACCTGAGAAAGCACCCATCCAGTATTATATTGCTTTTGTGGAAGTTTGATAAATGTATCCAGTGCATCCTGCTCCAGCAGAAGCATTAGAAAATTCAACATATTGTCAGAATATTAATTGCTAGCAATTTTTATTCAAGATCTTAAATTACTGAAGGCTTTCACACGGCACTTAGTCTAACTTCCAAACAAGAGTCTTACTACCTGGCATCTATAGATACACAAGAGCCTGTAGCCTTCGCCAAGAATCATTAAGAGGCCCAATATTTCAGAAGCACCAGCTGCGACTCTTGAGCTACTCACAACAGCTGGACCTGAAGGCCTAACGGCCCCTTCTTGCTCAAGAGATCTAGCATCACTGCGGAAGGATAAACTGGACGTCGTAATATCTAAACGAGAATCATCATAAATATCACAATGAGTCCCCATAAGAGTAAGATTACTTCGGTTAGCGAGGATACAAACTCAAAAGATTACCAAAATAGCATCAAATAATATTAATTTTTTTATCCACTCTTCCCTTCACTTTCTTTATTTTGTAGTTCATATTATGGTTTAGACTGTTGAATTAAGTTAATTCAAACAATATCAGTCTGATTTTATCAATAAGTACTGTTATGAATTCTAGGGGGTCTCACATCTAATGGCCCGAGGCTAAATGCAAAATAAATCAATTTAAAAAAACTAATATTGCAAATCTAAGAGCACAAACTAAAGCAAAATCAACTGGTCCTGCTCCCCCTTTCTTTCCACTGCAGGATATACCTTGCTCATATCAAGAACCTACAAATTTTATAAAAAACTCAGCCAACAATTTGTTGGAGTCAATCCAGGCCACTGAGGGTTTTGCTTTCCATCATTAATTAAAAAGCTAGTGACATTTCTTACAAAATAGTGTAAAGACCAGAAATCATAAAAGAAATTCACGTTGTACAAATGAGATCACCTTCATCTGAATTTTCACTAGCCCATGACGGTCCCTTTTGAATTGACACTGAACTTGATACCACGGAGCTTGACTTATAACCCCCAAGATATTTAGAAGAGTGGTTTGTTCCATTCCCAGAAGCTACTGATGCACTTGAATTTGTGTTGACCAGAGATTCTCCACCAAGTCTCGTGCTTCGTCGTTGTCTGGACTCAGAAAATAACCTCTCAGATACCTGAATGCAAATGGATTAACGACTCAGTAAACTAAAACACAACAAGGCATCAACATTGAATAAGATCAAGAGACATTCAAGTACATATCAAAGGAACAAAGAGAAGGGATGCTGATAGGATTAGAGACATATAACTGATAAAATCATGTCATATTTAAAGGAAACATAAAAAGGAACAAAAACTGTATGGTGGAACGAAAAAGAAACAAAATCAATGAGTAAGTCTAAGCTGTAGCTCGAAAGTAAGAATAAAGCTTGAAAGTAAGAATTTTCATGAGCTTAACATCATCTCTGAAACTCCAAACATATACAAACGTCTAAAAAAAAAAATGGACTAAGCACCAGTTGAACCACAAACCAATTTACTTGAAGCTGCATACTCGCAACGCAAACAATTATAGAAGGGGAAAGTAGCGAAGTGAGTGTAAAAAATATCAAAGTGGGTGTTGCAAGCAAGAAAACAATAATTGGAAATAAAAACAATTATGCATGTATAGTTCACAGAAAACATATTATGAAGTTCGTAATTTTTAGATTGATGACAGTTCTCAAAAGTAATAATTAGCTAGTATAAAGGAAAATCCCAACCAAGACAACAAGGTATTCCACGCTCCTAAAGCAGCAGCCATTGATACAGCAAAATAGTTATTTAAACATCCCCAAATGTAATTGATACTTTAAAGTTTTAACCTAAAATTCTGTGAAATTAGACTCCTGGCCATATAAAATAACATAACACGAAAATGAGCCTGGCACATATCATTCTCTCTCTCTCTCTGTGTGTGTGTAGGTATAGTCTTCCACAACTTCTAGGATGAGCGATCAACATGTCGACAGCTTTGACAGAATGGAGTTCACCAGATCTGCATCTCCACTATATTTGATATTTGGTGAACTTACCCCTGGAGAAGTAATTGGGATTAAAAGTTTCTTCCAGCTAAATTTTTTGGGGAAAATAAAGTACGTATACCACCAAAGTTCACTAGTCTGTAATGGACATTTCAAAGATGGACATATCCATCTAGAATGACCCACCAAATGCTCAATACTTCTTCAAATGTACTTACATGACCTAAAATCCACAGGGAAGAGTTGCCAAACGCCCAGACAGCACTTAAATGCTTATGGTATGCATTTGTTGAGTCTTTTACATGCACAACTTTTCACCAATAATTTCTTGTATAGTAAGCCATCAGTCCCCTAAAGATTTTAACTCAGTGCACCCAATTTGTTAGCATTGCTATCATATTTACCAGCAAAAATTCATGCGCTCAGACAAACTAGAGTTTATGACTGAATTGCCCTTAGCTACGCATAACATAAACAAAAGAACTAAATAAATTACAAATGGCTTCATTTTAAACTCCCCACCGCCATAAACACATCAATCTCAGAAAATCAGTGCTGCCTGACTGCAAATGTCACAAGCCAACAACACCTGTTATACCTCGTCCGCCACGACATTGCATAACTGTCTAAACTTTCATTGACATAAAATAAAAGATAACCATCAAACCAGTTCCACCAACTGAAACAATAATGTTCAAGAACCCCTTACAACTGCCTAGTATTAGAGGGTGTGCACTAATTACCAAATGAAAAAGGAAAAAAAATGAAAAAATTGTATCTGGACAACAATCTTTCTCACATTTCTAGGCCTGAACATGATCATGCAGTAGTGGTTCGAAGAGAAGCGATCTAGACATGTGGGAGGAGGGTACTGCAGCAGTCGATTGACAGCACGCAACAACACCTGGAACAGGACCTGGACCAGATCTGGACAGCATTTACCAGTTTATTTATTTGATCTTTTCATTTTTCAATGAAGAGCAAAAAGAAAAAAACGGTCACTTATCTCACCACGTGGCTGTCCAAGTTCATCCTTCCCAGAGTGAACTTCTAGTGCATTCATTGTATCATGTTTCAACAGCTTAGGAGCATTTTTCATTAGTAGGTAGATCTAATTACAATGCTGCCACACCTAGTCTAACCCATTGCTTAAGCCCCAAAGAACCAAACAGAACAGTCCGGTCTGGTAAGGATATCTTTTACATGGAGAACACTACCAGCTTGTTTTGGTTCCGACAAACACTGGACCAGGTCAATTGGCAATAACAGTATTGCATGGTATGTGTTGATGAGTACTACTTCATGGAGAGGCGCTCATAGAGGTATTATGGGATAGGATCAGATAGTGTGGTGGAAAAGGTGGGCGGCAAGAAGTTGTTCGCCGGTCATTTAGTGCTTGAGGGTAGGGGCACTTGTGGTGGTGCCTCTTCCTTCTTCCGAACTGATGGTAACTGGGTCTTTTCCTTCTCTCTTACAACACTTGCCAAATATGTCGATATCAAAAGATGAAGATGATAAACTAATAGCATAAGAAGTATTTTTATTTCAACCTTACGCCAAGAAATTATAAATACAAACTTAAGAAAAAGAAAAAGACACAAGTCCAAATGTGAAATTCCTGTGAAGATGATATGACCAAGACGTCCCACATTCAAGGCTAATGCTAGTGTTTTAAGTTCATATAGTGCTGGTAGAGATGAGATTATGAGGGATGATAGGTGGTTACTTCATTAGCCGGTCAATGTTCCTTCTTTCATATGAAGAGGTTATGCTAAAATTTTGGTAATGAACACTTCATTAGGGTGATTGACGACTGAGTGCTCTACCAGTGGGTCATTGGCGTCATAATCCATATTAGGCCCTTGATTAACCACCCCAAAAATAAATAATAATAATAAATAAATAAATAAATAAAATGGTTTTAGTGATCTGTGGCTCATTCCACTACATGTTGAATTGTAATTCAATGAAAGAACTCTCTCTCTCTCTCTCTCTCTCTCTCTGATGCGGACATCATTATATTATTATCGCACTATTTTACTTTTTTTAGTTATTGGGCTTGTATTATTGGTTTGACCCAAACTCATCACTAATAGGGTTATGCTTTTACTATTTATATGGTTTTCAGTTATAATTTCAGTAGACGATAATGAATTGATTGAATAAAAAGTTGGCTGCCGCCCCGTTTTCTCCTCTTTGTGTTTTCTTCCCCCCCGGTTTCCCCTTCTTCTCCTCTCCTCCTTTTTCCTTCTTATTTCTTTCTATTTACCCTGCATCACTCTCTCTCTCACGGGCCTAGGCTCATTGCGGAATTGCATTATATCATGTGTTGTTACTATTTTTCAATTTTTCGTTTCAAGACAGTGGAAGTACAAGTGATAATGGAAGAATCATGACAACAATGAAATGAAGGAGTGCCTATCATGTAACGATCATTAACAAAATATAAATATAACAGAAAAATTTACACAGTCCCAACCTTTCTTAATTTTCCTTCATCCACAAACTTTCTCCTAGGACCAGGAACAGCAGAGTTCACTACTGATCGTGGAGAATTATCAGCTCCTAATGCTCTCAGGTTTTGGCCATTCAATTGAGCATTTTCACATATTGGAGGTGGAGCAACACCTGACAACTGCAAGGCATGTAAGAGTTTAAGATCAAACCATTTAGCATAACAGTATGAAAATACAGACAAATCGTGTTTTTCCTAGATATAACTGAATATATAAAGTGCCTTCCTGAAATAGGAAAATCAAATTCAATACAGTCCAAGAAGAAACAGCATATATTATTTCCATTAAGAGTTAAATGAACACAGACTAACAAAAGGAAGGAATTGTTGAGGAAAAGGAAAATGGAAAAATAACATATGTCAAAGTGTCATGCTCTATCACTCAGTACATGATTCATATTACTCAAGAACTGAAGGAGCCGGACAATAGCAAAAAGGGGTAAATTGGAGCAGCAGGGTTAAAGCTTGATCACATGAATACAATGAAGAAAGAACAACAAATTATGAAAACTGCTCTGTTTTATTATCTAGTAGCAATTAAACAAATATCAGTTGAAGCCCTCAATGTGATTCAAAAACAGAGTGAAAATTATGAAGCTACAGCTTTGACAAGCACTACAAGCAACTGGAATTCAAATGGTACAAATTTGGGAGATTAAGGTGGTGGAGGTTGTTTTTAATTGTGCGCGCTCATGCATGAGAGGTAGGGATGTCAAACAGGCCAAGCGGCTCGTCGGCTAGGTCGCTCGGCTCGTGCTCGTGACGAGCCCAAGCCTGAGCTCATGGGCCGAGCCGAGCTCGAACTCAGCTCGCCACGAGCCGGAGCCGAACTGGTGGGTTAAAGAGTCAAGCCAGCTCGGCCCATTGCCATCGCTAATGAGAGGGAAAGCAATGAGTAGAACCACAATTGTATCCATCCCTACAAACGTGAACAAAAAGGGGTTTACAATATGCCAATTGCAACATTAGGCAGCATAATCTTTAAAGATAAATGGAATAGCAAATCAGTCAACTAATAACACACAAAGAAATCAAAAATGGATGATATAGAAGCAATAATTAAATATGTTGCTTTCATAGGAGAATTGAACAAGTAGACAATATCAAGGATATGAGAAATCGTATGGGTTGATGTTGAACAAAAACCTGTGTCTCATTCCAAATTGAGGCCAGCTAAATGAATCCTTTTTGGCTATTTCATTCAGTTCATCACTAGAGAGATGCAAGCAACCACAATCCACGATGTAATATGGGTTGGGCTGCCCAAGCCCACCATAACCAAGTCCTAGAGGGTTGACCCGTCTGGACTTGACAAAAACTTGAATAAAAAACTTTTTATTTTACCATAAATTGTGAATGTTTATTTGAAATTAGCCCATTTGGGCAGCATGGCCCACTAACCCTCAAACCACAATAGGACATATAAATTTTGATATTCCATTACTATCAAATAAAAAACTTAGAAAGTGCAAGATTAATTGTAAGTCCTACTTCTGGATTGACTCTCCAGCATTGTAAGATATTCATAAATGGAGCCAATGAAGTAAAAAAGATATTTGTAGCACAACTTAGTCACCCATTAAACACGGTAGAGGTCAAGAGTGCGCCCAACAATGAGTAAGCTCAAAGAAAGAAACTATGCACAATATGTAGGAATATACCTGTGAATGTGTAGCCATTGGAGAAGGAGTATTATAAAATGAAAAATTAGCAGAACCGCCATTTAGAGGCTGGTTAGAAGCTACTCCATGATAGTTCTGGGAGATAACTCGTACATCATAGCCATGCATATCTTTCAATTGCCTTGGACTAACATCTTCTACTATTGGACTTCTGTTAGGAACAACAATATGGTCATCGATTGATGCTTGCAAACTCTTGGAACTCAATTCATCATGCATGTATTGCTTTTCAACGCATAGAGAAGCACCTTCACTAAAAATTGAAGTTGCTTCTTCAGCTGCTCCTGAGATTATAAGAAAAGTAATAACCGGATTGAGCAAATAAGAAAAGCAACGGTAGTAGCATTGCACCAGTTAACAGACGTGTGAACAAAGTCAAGATAAATAAGCACACAAATAGAGGACTGAGAACCAAATATATCATGCAAGTGTATGTACAGACTATGCAGTGAGACCAGGGAGAGATACTTATAGCTTCTGTGTGTACGGCAACAAATCATAGCAGTTTGTTTGAATAAACTACACGGAAATAAATTGTGCCTGCTTAAGAATATAAAAAGGGCAGAGACATTTCTAAATCAGAAGCAAAAGTCTCGTTTTCTGCTCGATGTGGAACAAAAGCACAAAAAGAAAAGGAAAGACTGAACTTTCTTAAAAATTAACATTTTGTGTGGATTTAATTGTGACTGCAACTGCTTCAAATTTTTTTCTCTATACTTATCTCTTAACATTCATTATAAATCCCAGACAACCCAACAAGAAAAATCTCATCATCAAGCTCTTTCCTAATGTTACCAATCACATATTGTGGGTCACAGTCTAAGCTGTGCCCGGAAGCCTTCATATTCACCCCTCAAGTCTTTACTCTTTATATCAAGTCCTAATGCAGCCTTCCACAGCCTGTAAGGCAGTAGAGTGAATTAAAGTTTTAAAAACCCACCATAAACTCATTTATTGAGGCTGTCTACTTCATATCTTTTATTTTTGTACCCACCTACTTTCTTTTCCCATTAATATTATTAATTCATAAATGATATAATTGATCGCAGTCGGGATATATGTCTTAAGAACATTTCTCTTAATAGTTATAACATCACAACCCAGCAATGCAATAAAACAGCTTTATGCATTTCAGAGTCATTAATATATTCAAGTGAATTCAATTAACAACCTCATGTTATCTACTGAAAATTTTTGCTCACACGCAAATGATATATCCCAATCTTCTTAGTTACCGAATGAGCAAGTGGCAAATTTAAGATCAACGAGAAATGAGTCAAAAATAAATTAATTTCAACAGTCAACTTCTTAATTCATCTTCTGACTTGACGTAGGGAACGTAGCTGGTCTAGCTCAATATGTACAGTAGTCAAAATTAGATTATAAGGGTAAATTTATGACCCTAACAAACAACAAACTAATCAGAGAAAGTCAACAACAAAAGATTCTAAAATTGCACCAGTATTCTTCATTCCAACCTAATATACAGAGTTCCTCATAAGCAGCCCATAATAATGGATCCATCGACAAAGCCTGATTGAAGTGATGAATAGCATTCTGCCTTCTATCTGTATACCTGAAATAATTAACGGAAACGGATAACAAATTAAAAATCCTAAAGAGTAGAAGAGTATATTTAGGCCCTGTTTAACCAACATTCTTTCAAAAAATTGCATTTTTAAGCAGTTATTTGACATCATTTTAAGCACACATTCTTCAGTAAAATAATATTACATGCAAATCTAAAACTTTTTCTTATTTTTTAACCATACATTTCCCATTAATTCACTATTCAAAAATGCATTCTTATAAAAATAATATGGCTCAAACAATGGTTTAACATTAAATAGAAACTAAAGCCATATCCACATTTTAGATTAAGCGTCTATTTCCTGCAATTTTCACTATTTTTACAATATAAAATGTTAAATAGGCAGCGTATCTTGATGCGATGTAAAGTAGAGGATCTTGGTTTGACGCTTAATTCACCCTTCTATTTGATGGAAGGATTTTTAAGTCTAGATAGTTCGGGAGTGTATTCCTACAAATCATCTTACTGTTATCTTATTCGTTCTCAAGTTCCAATTTTCCCATTACTTTATTTCAAAAAAACACCCCCTTCCAAGTAAAGGTTTCATTTGATCTATGCTCCTTAATAAGATGGGCAAAGGTGACTTGTCTTAATAATGTCTAATGACTTGTAGAGCACATAGGCCTTACAAAGCTTTATCCAAGGTTGTCATGATCGTAATCTTGATTAAAGATGAGACAGAAAAATATAATTTAATTTAATGGGGGCCAAATGAGGGCTAAGCTTATTATTATCTACCCTTGTTTGATTCTGCTAAAAAAACCAGATTTTTAGTAAATTTTGATAAAAATTGATGAAACATAAGGTCGAAAATTGATATAAATTGTAGATATCATAAAATGTATAGTTGAAAGTGAATTTACATAAAGGGGGTCAAACAAGGTCCAAATAGTTTCAAGTCTTCTGATCTTAGGACTTGGAACCAACTTTAATAGCGAATCTAAAAGATTGAGATTCCATACTCAATCCTTATCGCTTTGATCTTCCTAAACCATAGCATCGTACAATTCTACAATTCGTATTGCAATTTAACAAACTTGGCTTTATCATCTAAAGCGGTATTCTAGAAAGTATAAAGCATGATTAGACAGCAAGGTTAGACTCAAGCTTTTGTAGCCTAAGTGGATTTTTATTATTATTATTATTTTATAACCGTGAGTGTTCGGTCAGCTTACGCGCACGTCGACTAATTCCACGAGACTTTGAAATTTACAGTTGGATACTCACCTCAGTGGCCCTGAGGAGACTCGAACTGATGACCATTGAAAAGCAAACCCAAGGCCTTACTAGATCAGAACATGGTTGGTAGGGATGGACAAAATGACCAGATTAGAGCCAAGTCAAGCGATTCAGTTCAATTCTAAAAAAAAAAAATTTAACGATTTTGGTTCTTAAAACCATCAACCATTTAGTTCTAGTTCTAGAATCAGAACCAAACTCAATTTTTATTAAGCTTGTGTTTGGGCTCCATTTTATTCAAAATATATTTTTCTCCCTTTTTTAGCCACAAATTTTTCAATAAAATAATATTTCACGTAAGTCCTAAAATTTTCCTTCTTTTTTAACACACATTTTTCAAAAAATCACTATTCCAAAATATATTTTCTCCAAAATTTAATTTTATTGGAGCCCAAACAAAGGCTATTTTATGTACCAAAAAAATCAGCTTTTGTAAGTGACTCATTCATATATATTAGTGAAAACTTGATGTTTGTGTATTTAAATTGTGACTATGTTTTGTACGTTAGTTTGGACTTTTCTAAATGAATTTTATTACACAATATTTCATTTGATGATTGATAATTTAAAGTTGAATTTGCTAACTGTTTTATGTTCATTTTTTCATATAGGCATATGTTACTAACTTATAGATGTAGTAATAGATTTTAATTTGCATTTATCATTGGAAAAAATTTAAGTAATGAACCAAAACCAAACCAAATCATATCTTAAAAAAACCATTAGTTCATGGTTCAATTTTCTTAGAACCAAAACTAAATGGAACAATGTCTACCCCTAATGGTTGGTGCAAGGCAATCTTTGCAGCTACGAGAGCTTTTCAGAACACTGCCTAAAGCGAAATTTACTTCTCAAAATAAAATAGAAAATATCTTTGGTTTTGTTCCTACATTTCCTTCTGCTATAATTGGAAAACTTTCGCTATTCTGATTCCTTGTCAACGAATTTCTTATGAAACACAAAATTTCAACAACAAAAGCTATGGAAAATTAGAGGTAGCACCAACTTTCAACTTTTACTGTAGCACATTTATTCTCTCATGTCTTGTTTCTATTTGTTACCTACGATGTTGAAAAGTTCAGAAAATGAAACCTTGGAAAACACGACCACAAACATGGTGTCCCAAACCAACCAGCCACCAAAAAAATAAAACCCTCTTTCCTCATTTAGACTTGATGATATGGTATCGAAATGTGTACATGTCTCTTAAGGAGAAAAGCATCCTCACACTTAGTCCCTATTTGACAACCATTATTTTGAAACTCTTTTTTTACATACTCATTTTTAACCATACATTCATACAATAAAATATTCAACATGTAAACTCAAAATTTTTCTTTACTTTTTAACCACACATTCTCCTAACAATCACTATTCAAAACTCCATTTATCTCAAATAATGGTTGTCGAATAGGAGCTTAATTGGAATAACACTGAGTGACGATGACTACAAGGTTGCATATTTGTAGTTTATGTGCAACCTTAATCACTGGGTCTGCACATACTAAACTATCATTTGCATAATTGCGTCAATTATCATTACAAAAATAAACAAATAAATAAAACTTTATTATTTTCATAGATTTCATTAATCATTCTTCTTCTTCAATTTTACTTTATAGAAAGCACACTACTCTTTGTCAACTAGATGAGTAATTAACGCCAGAATGATTTGTATAGCTTGTATAATAGTTGTAATTGGTAGAAAATTGCTTAGTTTTCATTTGTGTACAGTGATAGCTAACATTCAGCCGTGTAATTTGCCTTATTATTCCTATATATACAAAGGAACCCTCACAATGAGGATTATCGAGTCAAAGGATAAATTGAATACCTTGACATGGTATCAGAGCCATAATTCTGAATTTCTTCGTGGTTTCTCGTGCGATAGAGTAGGTTTTCGGTGGTGTCGGAATTTTCCGACCTCTTGGGTGCTGTCGGCATCTTCTGTGGTGACTGGCGACGCCTTCTTTGGGTTTTGTCAAGACTGTTCATTTGGGTCCTACTTGGTGTCCGATTTTTTGGATTTCTTTGGTGCTGCCGGCATTTCCTGTGGTGGCTCCCATGGTGGCCGAGACCGTGCGGTGAACGTGGAGGCCAAGATTGGTGCGGTGAACGTGAGGCCGAGACTTGTGAACCCGACGTGAATTAGAGGTTTGATATTAACCTCTGTTTATTGGGCTAATTAATCCATTGTTTAATTGGGGTGTTAAAGTTTACTTGGAGAATTTATCCATTGTTTAATTTGGGTCTTAAAGTTTACTTGGGCTCGGTTTATATTGGGCTTTTTGCTGGACTTTGGTTTTGCTGAATTTATATTGGGTTCTTTTGTTTTTAACTACGTACATCATGTCAACCAACATGTCTGAAACTTTCGGTGTGCGATTCACGGGTAAAAATTATTCTACATGGGAATTTCAATTTTGATTATTCGTTATGGGAAAAGAATTATGGGGTCACATTGATGGAAGTGACCCAGCTCCTACTGAGAATATTCAATTGGGCAAATGGAAAGTGAAAGATGCTAGGGTTATGACATGGATTTTAGGATCTGTTGATCCTATGATTATACTAAATCTAAGACCTTATAAGACTGCTAAAGAGATGTGGGAGTATTTAAAAAAGGTCTACAATCAAGACAATACAGCTAGACAATTTCAATTGGAGTATGAAATTGCAAATTACACTCAGGCCAATCTCAACATCCAGAATTACTTCTCTGGGTTTCAAAGCTTATGGGGTGAATTTGCTGATATTATCTATGCTAAAGTACCAGTTGAATCTCTTGCTGCCATTCAAACTGTACACGAGCAAAGCAAGCGAGACCAGTTTCTAATGAAGTTACGTCCAGAATATGAGGCAATTCGCTCAAATCTAATGAATCGTGATCCATCCCCTTCTTTGGATGTTTGTTTTGGGGAGTTACTTCGTGAAGAGCAGCGTCTTACAACACAGGCCACTATTCAACATCAACATATGACCTCAGATGCTGTCGCTTATGTAGCTCATGGCAAAAACAAATGGAGAGACATTAGAAAGATTCAATGCTTCAGTTGCAAGGACTATGGGCATATTGCTACTCATTGTACCAAAAAGTACTGCAATTATTGCAAGAAGTCGGGACACATTATCAAAGACTGTCCTACTCGACCTCAAAATCGTCAAGCTAATGCATATCAGGCTACAACCAGGCCACCAACTCCTGAGACATCATCTACTGCTGCCCAATCTGCTCTTACTCCTGAAATGGTGCAACAAATGATTGCATCAGCTTTTGCTGCCTTGGGATTTCAAGGTAAACATAATACTTCATCTCATTCTTGGCTAGTTGATTCTGGTGCCTCAAATCATATGACCAGTTCCTCTGATGGTCTTTATGATATTCGCCCATATCAACGCTCATCTCATATTCAAACAGCTAATGGGAGTCATTTAGCTATTAATGCTGTTGGTAACATTAATTCTGCTTTTCGAGAAATTTTTATATCTCCTGGTTTATCTACAAATCTGATTTCAGTTGGTCAATTAGTTGATAACAATTATGATGTCCATTTTTCTCGTGATGGTGTTCTTGTGCAGGATCAGGTGTCGGGGAAGATACTAGCGAAGGGGCCTAAAATTGGACGATTGTTTCCATTACATTTTTCTATTCCTAGTTGCTTATCTTTGGCTTGTATAACCGTTAACAATAAAAGTGAAGTTTGGAACAAACGTTTGGGACATCCAAACTCCACAATCCTGTCTCATTTGTTAAACTCTGGTTTGTTGGGTAATAAAAATAATTCTTCTCATAATTTGTGCTTTGATTGTTCTACATGCAAATTGGGAAAGAGTAAGACTCTTCATTTTCCTTCTCACAGTAGTCGTGCCAAAAAGAGCTTTGATATTGTGCATGGTGATGTTTGGGGCGTTTCACCTATCACCTCTCATGCCCAATATAAATATTTCGTGACTTTTATTGATGATTATAGCCGATACACATGGATCTATTTTCTCCGTTTTAAATCTGAAGTACTTTC